TCTGATGTGAACTGTTGGAGCTAACACAACTGAAAAATGGGCTGCCGGTGAGCTGCTGCTGAGATGCGTGCCACTCCCAGGATAGCTAACATCTGTAGCCCTAAGGATGGTGGAGGAAGGAGGAGGAAGGATTTAGTATTGATAACGTCTGCCTTGAATCTCATGAGGGTGAATAGCAGGAGCAGTACACAAGAAGCGATATTGCTGTTGGGTTTACTCAGCCTTCAAGCAGTTACCAAAACTGTGGCCACTGAATGGCTGTTGGATGATCTGCATGAGACGAGTTTGGTATTTGGATTCAGTTTCCACTGGGAAGTTTGTATTTCACAAAACATGCAGCTAATTAGCACCTGCTGGGCTGCCTGTTTGGCAGCTGGGAAGAGGCCAAAGATTAAATACTTTTCAAAGACGAATTCACCTTTTATCCATACTGGTTAGGGGAGGAGAGTGACAGGGAAGAAGTGCATGGTTTTGCCCGAGCTGTTCTGCTCCTGCCTGCTCAGCATGTCTGAAGGATTCCATGGAGAGTGCAAGGTAACCATGGTACAGTGCTGCCAGCTCTCATTGTCCAGGGTAAACATGACGTAGAGCTGGTGGATCTGCAGGAGCCGTCTCTGTGCCAGCAATAAATGGCAGCTAATAAGTTCTGCTTGGTCTGAGCTGACCTTCCATGGAGCCCTGCAGGTCTCTGCACCGTGCTCCCCATGGTTCATGTTTCTGGGCATATGATGCTGAGACATGTCTGCTGGGTTGATTTGCTGGCGTTCTGCATTGAACAAAAGTAGCTGAAACTTTTCCAGACTGGAAATGGCCCTCAAAGAGTTAGAGACCTGCTTGGATGGGGATGTGTCTGAGCTAATGAATTCTGTTACACCTGAGCTGGCTGTGTGCCTGGGCCCTGGAAGTAAGAGATGAGTGCACGCATACCTGTTGCTTGTAACAGGAAGGATTTTTTTCCTTTGTAGTACTCAGAACATGTATACTCAGGCCCCTCGTGCCCCTCCTTGGTGCACAGGTATACAAGGCAGAGCACACCCACCACTATGTCTGTTCTTCTCACTTACCGAGTAAGACAGAAGTTGTGCCTGGGCTAGCATTGTGTCTGCATCCATGCCATGGTTTCTTCACAACTTGGGTAAACCATCGGGCGGGAGGGGGATCAAAACAAATTGTTTGCATAGCTGTTGCCCTAATAAAACAATCTTTCTTTTAAGCATGGGTTCATGTTAAAGCAAGGGTCGTACGCAGCTGGTGCCTTTTAAAAAAAACCAGAAAATAAAATCGATGGATGGATGGAGAAATCTGACAGTTATCAGGAACAAAATGTGCTCCCCTGATACACTGATCTTGGGTTGCTGTGTTCTTTGTTCTTTGCTGTGTTCAATGCAAGTAAGTCCCAATCACGAGCTCTATCCCTCTCCCTTAAGAATATGCCTACCTCAGAGAAACTCACTTCCCTGTGTGCCAGGTGTTCCCACTGGAACCCACCCCAATGGAGCGGTTCTGTGGCCAAGGTGCAGCATACCAGGGCTGCTACTGATCAGATTTGCTACTAAATCAGGTTTAGTATAAGTTGTTTAGAAGTTTAGCATCAATATGTATGACATCCAGACTGGTTTGGTAGCCTTCCTGCCACTGTTCTGTAGAACAGTGTTGGTTTTTTTTTATCTGCCCAGAAGCTACTGCATGAAGATAGAATGTGTCAGTTATTGCCTAGATCATGGGGATACCGATCATGTTGTACATACACTGGTGCAGTCTCAGTGGCTCAGGTCTTGAAGATTTGGCCTTTCTTTTATCCTTGCAAAACTTGCTTTCTTGCTTTCAGTCCTTGACAGATCAGTACTGAGCCAGCGGCTGTGCACAAATCCTGTTACTTGAAACAGGAAGGAATTTTTCTTTGTAGCATTTGTAACATGTACTTGTACCCATTATTATCACTCAGTACATAGGTATATAAGGCAGACTATGCTCATCACCCTTTCAATTTCTCTCTTACCCTGAAGAAAGCATGCTCCATCAATTAACTTTACATAATGCACCTGCTTTCCTGGTGCCTGATTTTCTTTAGTAATAGTCTGGAGATGAACACTGCTTTGTGTCCTGCAGGTCGCTATCTGTGATAGTAGTCTTTGCAGTGGTGATTTCAAGTGACCCTCCACCTTGACCCAGCTGTGGTAAAAGATCCTGCCAGTGGTTCCCTGTTGTAGGTATCTTCATTGTCTTGTGGAATGTTGCAGATCAGCCACAGGAGCATATCTGCTGATCCTTAAAACCTTGCCCCAAGAAGATACAGAAGCTCCTTCTGAAGGAGGTCTTGTTCTTCCATCCTGGTGCCAGTGAGCAAGGTGCCAAATGCAAGTATCCACCTCAGCAGCAGTGTAGTGTCCATCTTCTGGTAGAGATCCAGCTCAATCAAAAAGATCTAGTGCCTCTCCCCTGCCCAGCCATTAGCTTTTCCTGTTAGTGCTTGTGGCTCCTGCTCCTGGTTTCCAATGAGGGTGCTAGACTAGACGAATGGACACTGAGGGCATCTGTGCCACCTTCATTCCGGCTGCAAGTCAACACTTGGCAGTGAAGTCCTTCATCTTTTATTGAGCTTCATTCAGCAGTTTTGAATGATAACACTGTGATTTGTGCCACTTCCAAACTTGTTGGATGCCATGTGTTGTTGGACTGTGGGGGCTGCTGAAGAAGATATCTCCCATTTGGCTATTCATAATCTGTACTGAATGTCCTATATTGTTGTTTGGTTTGTTTGTGTTTTCTCTCTGGATCATGGGAATGGGGAGCATCCCGATCCCAAATGCTGCCATATCCAGTCCTAAAGTAGTCGTATTTCATTCCTGAGCATTCACTATGAAGGCATTACTAATTAGCTGGCAAGATGAGAAAAACAGAATTGTCTGAGTGCATTAGTCAACTGTATTTCTTTAATGTGCTTTTTAATATAGTATAATGGACGGCCTCCAAATAGGGCAGGGTGTTGACTTGTGGGTGGTAGAGCAAACCTGGCATAAGAAAAACTTGGTAGATGGGAGGTTGCAGCCCTTGACATGCAATCCTTTGATCTCTTTTCTGAGAATGTGCAAAAACAACCACAGTACCATATACTGTCCAGTAAAAGTCAATGTATGAGACAGGCCAAGGACAGGATTGTGGCATGGTGCCATTAGAGGTCACAACAACCTACTGCTGTTGCAGCAGACTTAGGGAAATAGCATTCCTGTTGGAGAGGGAGCCTGCTGCCAGTGCGTCAAAAGAAATTCTTCAGATGAAGGAAAATTAAACAAAAACATTATTTTGTTAGCAAAGTAAGTTGCTTTTACCCTACATATTCCCTCTTTCCTTACTCCACTCCAAAATACGATCTTCTGAAAGTTCCCAGTTCCCAGCTTGTAATGGCTGGCAGGGGCTGTCAGTAATGCCAGGTCAAAAACTTCCCCAAATCTAAAAGTAACCATCAGAGTTTTCTGTTTATTGCCTTTGTTTGTCTGCCTTGTGTGTCTCACCAGCTTGTTGTCAGGTTCAAAGCTGTTTGGCACGTGGGCTGCCTCAAGCTTGTGTGTTTGTCCCACACTCTTGTCCTGTAGTTTCTGCGGAGGGATATAGTAAATAAGAACAGAACTCTTCATTTCAAAGGGACTCCCCTAACTGTGCTGATTGCAGTAAGAAGTGTCTATAAGGAAAACGATTTAAGATTGTAAACAATCACTTGATGTCAGTTGTCTTAATGTTCCTGTGTCGTTTTTAATCTTTTGTAAAGAAATGAGACTTATTTATTCCTTTTGACTGGTTGTTTTCTAAGAACTTTTGAACTAGTTGACTGATATATTTAAGGGAAGGATATGATAGATATTTACAATCTCCCAAGGGAAGTGGAAGGGAACTAATTGTTCACAATCTTTTCTAGTATAAATGAAGCTCACAGAAGCCGTATTCAAAATCAGGAAAGGGAAGTGATTGAAAGTCCATATGGATCCAGGAGGATTCTGAGTTCGTGGAAGAGAAATCAATGAGCGTTGCCAGATACATTGAAGCTATACATGGCACATGAAATCCCTGACTTGAAAACGGTTAAATGGTAGAAGAGAATTTCAGGCCACAGTCAGAGTCAGGATTTGGAGACAGATGGACTTTTTGTCGGACCAGTACAACCATTCTGAAGTTACTGGTGCATTTGTAAATCCAGACTAGCCAAAGTATTGTTGCTTCTTGGCCCTGGATGGGTCATGGTAAAGGAGTTTGGACCTTTATGGGGGAGAGAGGTAGAAAAATTAGGGACAAAGGACAAAATCTAGAAGGAAGCAGACTCAAAAATTTCCATAGTCAATAGAATTATTTATGTGTAATCATTGTGCTTCTACAATTTAATACATTTAATTTGTGTGTGTGTCTATGCTTGCATAACTTACATCATCTGGTTGCTGCAGTGTTCACTGGGTATCAGTGTAGGTTGTGGTTCCATGGGCATTTCTTTAAGCAACTATGATGGTTTCATTGGATTCTGCCATGAAGAAAGCCAGACCGAGGAACTGAACCTAAACTAAAAGTAACCCAGGAAAATAAAAAGCATTAGTTTTAACCTGGTTCTGTTCCTACTTCCAGTTCACGGCTCAGCTGCATAAAAGCTTCTCTGAAAGCAAGCATTGACAGTGATACTGGCTTTTTCATGTCTGAAGTGTTTGTGAAACTGCAGTCTCAGGGAAGTGGGTATGAAACCACTGCCTTAAACTGTACTGTGTTTGTTCCCTGTCACTCTCTCTGTGCAAGGCATTTGCACACTGCATCAGAATTTGGCATGTAACATGTCTTTGCAGCCAGTGTGTGAAGGTCATTGTCCAGAGAAAATAGGAATATGCAAGTTAAAGTGTTTATTCCTAATGTGAACCTTATTTCAGTTCCTCCAAGTAACTGCTTCAGATGCTTTACATCACTTTCGTTTTCATTTCCATTAGAAGTGAGAACTTGTTCCTAATGTCTTCTTCCTTTCTCCCCAGATAATCTGATCAAAGCCATCCTGTCAGCAACCAAAGATTACCGTCTAACTCCAGCTCTTGACAGGTAAGATGAGACCTTTTAGAATAGACAGAGTAGAAATGATTATTTTCCACATGTCCTAAATAAATTTTGCTAGATATTTTTGCCAGAAATTATTGCCAGTAAATTTGGCTGTGCTTTGGAGGTAGATCAGGAGCTGGAAACTGAGTCCTCTTTCCAGTAAATCTGTAAACTCTGGAGACCTCTGTTAAGTCAAACATGAGTGGAAAAAAGCATTTACCTTTTGACTATTTCCTTATCTTTTGTTTCATATGGTGTTACAATACACCCTCTTGCCCCTTTTTCAAATAAGTAAATAGCAGGTTTTCAATAAACACATTATTCTTTTTCAGCCTTTCTGACAAAGCAACAGGATCACAAGAAACTCTTACAGGGAAAGAAGGGACTGGCTGGTTTTAACAATGTTTCACTAACACCTTAATCTTAAAGCAGAAATGTGTGATTGTGTTGGCCAAGCCTGTGCCAGGACGTGACAGCAGTCTCCTGGGTCCTGTGGTATTTAAATTGATGCCTTTAGAAGAAGGTCCTTTGATTCTTCAGTCCTATTGTAGAGGTTGCTTCTGAAACTCACTGGCATGTTTACAATCAGCTTTCCAATGATAGTCCTTTAGTCTTTCCTACCCTTGCTTTTCTGTCATTCCTTCTCTTTGCCCTGCAGTTTTGGTTTAGTGCCTGGATTAGAGGTAGTTTCTTTCAGAAGCTGCCAGAGGTTTTCACTGGGACATGATCTCTTTTCAAAGTCCTGGTACTACTTCTTTCCAAGCAGTGGTACTTCCTTGAACCTGGGCCAACCACACAGTTCCTGCTTTCTAAACACATTGGTTTTATTTCCTAGCCCAGCTCCCCTTCTGCCCGCTTTTCCATGACAAAGTTCATAAGCTTTTTCAGCCTTTCTGTAGGTCTCCGCATCTCTCGTGTTGATTGTAGAGCTTGCCCGCTGTAGTTGGACTTGGGAGTTACTCTCTATGTGAAAGTTTATTCTTAGTTTTTTGCAATCTGTGTGCTAATTTAGGTTGCTTTGAAGTTTGCCTTGCCTCACAGCAGTACCGGATAGGGTTAGCCTTCAGAGTTTGGATTAATTTGAGAAATGGTGTCCAGAAGGCAAAATATTTTACAAATTACCTTCTTAGAGATTTTGCACACAACTGAGTCTCACCCATCTGGGGTTTATCTCAGCTCTGGTTGGAGAGTTAAGATTTTAATCTGTTGAAAAATCCACATATACACTCTTTCAGAAGGTTGCTCATTGGAAGTTAGTGTTAATGAAAGAGGGCAGTTGGAAGATTCTTGCAGTGGAGGTTAATGTAATTGTGACCCTTGCTGCTCACCTGTTTTTTGAGGAGTGGAATGTTTCAGGTTTTTTAAGTCATTTTGCAGGAGGTTGTGAAATGTAGCCACTCTAGCATGAGCTGCTCGCTTTGGGTTTATATTCTTTGTGATGGGTTTGGTACAGAGATAGGAAAGACCTAACACTCAAGCCTTCATGAAACTTATGCAAAGTCCCTGAGATCTCAACTATGAATGAGACCCAAGGAACAGGCTAGAAATGTATTTCTGTAGCATTGCAGTAACAAGGTTTGGTGGTGTGTATGCTTGTAAACACACAGATATCTTGGGGAAGTACTGTTTTCTTGGGAATTTTTGTGATAAATGCAAAGCAGTAGATGTTGGTTGTGTATTACATATGCCTCACAGTCAAAAGCCTCCCAGAGCCCTTCCAAGTGAGCAGGTCTTAGGAAAGATAAAAATTGAAGCTGATGTGCGAGAAAGGGACAAGAAAGGCTTGGGATAGCAAGATGCAAAGTGGGAGCCTAAAGTGGTAAGTGGATGGAGTTGCAACAGAAGGGTTATTACGAGAGAGCACTTGGGTACTGTAGGAGGTGTTAAAGCTACTGCAGCGCTGCTCTTGGAAACCTGCTTGGTGAGTAGGGCATAGATGAAGACTTGGGTATGCTTCCAGAAATGTTCTTCAGCCGTGATCGTCAATGATTTACAGTTCTGGCAGCAATGAGTATCTGCCATTTTGGATTCCAGAAGACCTCATGGAGCAGACTGATGAGGGAAGGCTGGCTACTTTCTCATCTTGTCTCAAGCTCAAAGCAGAGCCCAACAGTTCGTCTCTGTGGCAGCTCCAGTGTGCTGGGAGCAGGGCCTTGAGGTTCGGCTCACTCCCTTCTGCTCACTGGTCAAGGAGAAAGTCCAGACCTCTCCCTTTTGCTCACTACCTTGGAGCAACTGGAGAGGGCCTGACTTAAGGGACCTTTAAAGGTCCCTTCCAACCCAAACCATTCTATGATTCTATGATTAAGGGCTGAAAAAATGCTTTATTGTGAAAGAGTTAGATAAGAGAGCTAAACTCTGTGAGGTACAAGGGGTCAGACTTAGGAGATCTTGTGAACTCTTCCACTTGTAGGCTCTCAGAAGTCTAGTGGGCTGATTCTAGCGGTAGGGAAGAAGCTCCAGGTTCACCTTTTCTTCAGGATGGAGTTACACCAACATCTTCTCTGTTGGCAAAGCCAGTCTAAGAAGCTATATTTGCTGCTGCTGCTGCCTGCTCTCAGACTGTAGCTCCTTACTTCTCCTTGTGCTGCTGCTGTTGTTTTAAGAGGGACTTAAAGTGGGTCACTGAAACGATTCCAGTTTAAAAGTTCGTCTCTTAACGCGGGTCATTCCAGTGACCTCACTTACAGAGCTCCCCTCCCACTGAAGAGTTGCGTTGGCGCAGTGCTGCAATGGCAGCAGGAGAGGCAGAGGGCTGGGGATGGGTGGGGAGGGTGAGCGCTGCCGAGCCTATTGAAGCAAGTGTTCATGTAACCACACGCTGAATGCAGCTTTCCCGGGGGAAGGGTGGGAGAGGCAGCAGAGGTGAGGTCAGAGCAGTGCGTGAGAACATAGGAAGGAAAGAGGGGATTGGAGTTGAGTGGTGGGGTATCTACACCAAGCCTTTGGTCTTGTCCCCACACAAGCTTCTCCATTTCTGTCCTCCTTCACAAAGCTGTCCCTTGAGATGTTACCTTCACTTGCTTCCCATAAGCCCTGGAAAGGAACTTGTTTGTTTGATTATCCCTATGCCAAAAGGGCATCCTGATGCACCTTTCCTGACATAATGTACTGACGTGGTGCTGAAACGAGGCAAACTTGATCCTTCCGGGTATGCATACACCTTTCATCATCCCCAAGCAGCTTTGCCAACTCACTCCAACTAATCCCTCCATTGTGAGTAGAGTTGTGTTAATAACTAGCAGCAGCTCGAGGGCATGTGAACAAATGCTATAGTTCACGCCTGTAACAAAGTGATGCTGTGCTTTCTTAGGTTTCTTCGTGACTCCTTATTATGGCACCTTTGTGTTGAACTGCCTATAGTAACCTGCTTCTGCGCTAGGGCAGGAGGTAGGTAAAGCTGCAGTTGTGTTTGTGAGGGTAGTTGCAACTCAGCTCTGAGCTTTTCTGGAAAGATTGGAGATCCAGGGGACATTCTTTAGAATCAGTGTCCTTTTCCTTCAGAGCTGGCATGTCTTTCTCCCCAGCGCAGATGCTGGTGGGCCTCATCTTTGACACTTCAGAGTTCTCTTGTCCTCTGTTGGCTTTTCCAGGCCCATTTATATCACTGGTATTTTCACTGCTTGCTTTAGTAACTCCTCCAGTGACCTGCTCCTCCTTCTGCAAATCGATCAGGGCTTGGTTTCTAGTTCCATGGCTCTTCTGCTGGCTGGACTTCAATGGATTTTGGGGTTAAATCTCTGCGGTGATGACCTGTAAATTTCCTATGAAAAGACAGAAATACAAAAACCTGACTGACCCTTTTGTATTGCCTCCAGGTGGTAATGGAGGAAAACTGAGAGTTTGAGCTTATAACTAACACCGTCTTTACTAATGCAGTATATAAGCTACAAGTGAGGAAGGAATTTGATAGAGCAGGAAAAGGGATGTGTGTGTCCCTCTGGCTCAGGTTGATAGCACCAGTTTAAGTAGCAGCAGCCAGATCAAACCAGAATATGCTAAGCCTCCTTAAGCACCAGTTACCCTAAAGATGTGTTTTTAAATTATTCTGTTATATCTTTCCTCAAAGCCTTTAGTTCCAAAGTTGCGTAAAGGAAGGCTTTGTGGTTTTTCTCCCCTGACAAATGCCTAAAGGGCTTTGATAAGAGAGGAAGAGGAAGTAGCAATTGCTACAATGCATACATGTGTTTACAGTGCTATATTGTTCAAGAAGATCTGTGTGAATCCCGGTTTTGGTGTAGATGAACTCAACCTCTGAGCACCTGTGTCAAGAGGCTGTACATCTGGCTGCAGCTCCCAGCTTAGGGCTTTAGGGAAAGGCTGTCTCGTGTGGAAAGTCCATGACCCTTCTTCATACCACCCTGGTAGCAAAACTGGAACCTGGGCTGTGTCCGATGTGTTCAGTCCTTCAGCTCTTCTGGAAAAGAAATACAGCTTTGACATACTGTGTAAACAAACAAAAAGGTGTTTGCACACTTCTTTGTGGAGAAGTAATTGAGCTGTAACTGATGCTGCTTGCACAGTGTGTTTCTTCAGCCAGAAACTTGCCTGGAGCCAGCAGTGACTTTGCAGGCTTCCCATGCTCAGGCACTGTCAGTCAGTGCTGGCTGTGAAGGAGCCCAGCTATGCTAGTGCCAAGTGTCCAAACTTCTGGTTGGGATGTGAGGTGCCTGACATCCCTGCTGAATGCTTCCCTTTCACAGTGCCATCAGGGTGGCCCTGCAATCTTCTCACTGTCCCACAATGTGGTTGCCAAAGTTGGTGAGACCAAGCCAGCTCACCTTTCTGCCTGTCTTGATCAAAACAGTCCTGGCTGCCCAGACTTGATGTACACACCTGATGTGTAGAACCCAGGCAAAGTCCAGGACTCACCATATCTTCATCATGTGCACCTGAAGAAAGCAATCTGCACCTGAGTACTGCCTTCTGAGTGTGCAACAGAAACTTCCAGCTTTGCAATGAGAGTGGGCAAAGTGCTTTTTGAAAGAAATTTAAGAAAAAGCTGCTAGAAGATCAAAAATTAGACCTTAGCGTCAAAAAAATACTAATGAAAAATCTTATCTGTGGACTTAAGGAAAAAGGAGGACATATTTAAATATGTCGAGACCACCAGAGTATAAGAGTCGTTCAGACATGAAGCTGGGCAGAGGTCAGTTATGATGAGTAAAGGCAGAACCATTCAGTTAAGTATTTGTTTCATTTATTTGGGTAAAGGTAGAATGATGATGTCCCATTTTACAGCAACAATTAAATACTTTCTGTATTTTTATTAGTAACTATGAGGATGTTAAATGACAATTATATGTCTCTTGAAATCAGAAAGCATTGAAGAGTATTCAAAGAGTTAAATAAAGAGTTCTTTTTGTTATTACTGTTTGCTTTTTAACTGTTCTTGGAATGATGGATAGAACAGCAAATGTTGTGCCATTCCTGGAGAAGTATGGGAGATGACAAAGAGGTGGCTGTAAGTTGATTAGCTCAGTTTTGTAGGAAAAATCTTGGAAAGTTAGATCTGGAACAGAGCTAGGATGGCAGCATAATTGATGTCAGTTATCTTGGATTTTGTGGAAATCAAATCTTGTCATGTAGATGAAGGTGGGTTTTTTTTTTTTTAGATTAACTAGAAGCTTGATTGATAAAGGTAACCTTTTTAAGATAGGCATTAGTTATTTGTCTCAGTCCATTATATTTTGATAGTACACAATACTATTGTAGGCATATCCTTTTTAGGAATGGGATATGTCACAGAGCTTTAAAAAGTTACTGTCAGGGTTGAGAATTAATCCTTTAGTGACACTTCAAGTGTAATCCTGCTGGCAGATGTTCGCAGTGGTTAAGACCGGTCTGTAGGAAATGTAAAATTACACTAGGAAAATTTGCTAGAGCCAAAGACTGGGAAAGTAGGGAGTCGGAGGACTGGGTCAGTCTAGACCTTTTTGTAGGGCCCTTTTCTGAGCAGTCCTTTACTGGAGCCAAATCGAAAGTCAGGCATCTCAGAGGTGACAACAGATCATACTTACAAGATGAGGATTACAGTCTGCAAACCAATGACTATAAAAAGAGCATTGGAGTGATGTACATAAAACTTCTGTGTAAAAGGGACCCTGCTTTGAGCAGCATTAGCTCCGCATGCTGGTCTTCCAGAGTCAGTGCTTCGGAGATTTGGGGAGAAGTTGAAAATGGTTCAGAGAGGTAGTGCAAATGTGACTCAAGATCTAGGAGAGCTGCCATACTGTAAGAGATGTGATGAGCTCAGTCAGGTTTATATGGTCAAGAAAAAATTAAGAATGGGCTTTGATCAGTCTACAAGTGCTGTGTGGGAACAGGGCCATGAAGAGAGGCTGCTGGAACGGCTTTGGCTGGTGGAACTGGTTCTTTTATCTCATGTGTAGCAGCTCATGCTCACCGGTCTGACCTGTAACTGGTTATCCATCTAGAAGCAGATGTTTACACACAGTAAGTGGATCACATGCAGATGTGGAAAGGACTGCTGACAGTAGATGGTGCTTTAATTTTGCAGAAGAGGGAAGAATGCGATTAAGTGGTTTGAGGCTGAAACAAACACATCTGTATTCAAAATTGGTAAGAGCTAGCGTCCTAACAGTAAGTGGGAAAGTGATAGAGGGGAGTGGCTACAGCTTGCAGCCTTTGGATTTCAGCGTGGTATTCTTCTTCAAAACATAAAATTAAGAAAAGTCATGGCTCAGAGACAACTGGGTAGAGAAATAACAGTATTTCACCCGGCAGTCTGTTGTTTAAGAGGTCGAACTTTCTTATCATAATCATCAAAAGAGCGTATTCTCATATGAAATTTCACTTGGCCAGAAACTGAACTATGTCATTTTTCCCTCCTGCAGCACGTTTTCCTTAAAGGTTTTGACAAAGCCGTTACCATCTTTGTCACTCGGTTGGGTGTACTTGGGGCTGACTCTTTCTCTTCCCACCTTGACACAATATACTGCCTGAACCAGATCTTGCCTCTACTTTCTACTTGTTGCCAGAACTGTATTTTTTTTTTCTGTGCCGTTGTCTATAAAGTTCTTTCTCTGTTGTGATTTGATTGTCACAAACATCCACACTTCTTCAGCCCTTAGGGACACGAGCACTGGGCTAATATGCCCATCTTATTAAGGAGGTTTTTTTCTTTTGGAAAGGCTGGGATCTGCAGTGAGACTTTATCTGGGGTGGGGAAGCTGTTCCTGAGCGTTTCTTGGTTCTGTTAATTCTGCGCATATCTCCAACTAATGGCTCTGTCAGCAGGGTAACCCGCAGTGGTTTAGCTGAGTCTTTCAGTGCGCTCCAGCCCTGCTCTGCAAAGACGGACCCCACAGAAGCAGAGCTTTCCTCACGCTGGCTCTTCTGATCACTGCAAGGACAGCCTAGAAGAGACCAGTCGACTGTGCCTGGGACTAGGAAGGCCGCCTGCTCCAAACAACTGATTGCCTTGGACCCTTTCCGAAAAAGGCTCTGCAGACACGTATTCCTTCAGTGAACTACCAGAGATGGAGGCACATTGCCAGAAGAGCCAGCTGCGTTTGGGATTAGATGGCTGGAAAGAAGTCCTCTCTCTGTCTTCAAAACGAAATCACTTTTTAACATCTGCGGCAGAGAGTTCTCGTGACTCGCAGTTCCACGAGAAACCATTCTCTTCCTTCTTTTTCCTGTTTCTTTCTTAATTATGGTTATTTTCCTTTCCCTTCCTCACCCATTGTGTCTCTGTATATGTTTCCTACTGGACAGGATTGTTAGGGGGTCCTTTTTCCATCCATTTAGTGTTTTTCTCTTGAAGTCTCATGATAACTGCAGCAATTTTGCACTCAGCAAGGTGAGCACACCCCAGATAACCTGGCAAGATCTGCCTGCACTCAGAAAATTGCTTGGAGAGAGGACTTCCTCACTAAGCCTTTGGTTTATTGTTATTTCAGTGCTAAATGAATAATGAGAAGGTTTAAGTAAACAGATGGGTTTGATTCAAGCCCATCATACCAGGGGTGTGGGGGGAGAGGAGCTGCTTGTCCTGACAGCTCATTTCATTAGGCCACACGTGGTGTGAGGTGTTGAAAGCAGTTTATCACGTGTAATGCCTGGGCATGATGGGGTGAGCTGGGGATCAAGTATATCTCTGTTCTCCCCTTAATTCTTAATATTCCAAAAGGTTTCCTGTAGTTCTCAGATAGGTGCAAACTAAATATGCCTAGCTCGGTGTGTTTGAAGTTGTGTTACAAAAATCACCTCTTTCCTCTGTTTCTTCCACAGTCTCAGCTGCCGGCGTTGTATTATTGTGGGAAATGGTGGAGTACTTGCAAATAAGTCATTGGGGTTAAAAATTGATGACTATGATGTTGTTGTCAGGTGAGTCTTTGGCATCACCATTTTCTTGTCATATATTCAGTTTCTGTATCAGTTCACATGCTATGCAGGCAAACGTTAAACCTACACTAGTGACAATATCAATTTGTGTGGAAGCATTAGCTAATATGGAGGGGTAAAAAACCCAAGAGTATATAAATGTTTGTTATAAACTGTGATCACATCAAAGGGTGAAGGCACTCCTCAAGCATTCCATTTTCCACAGCTGTTTGGGAATGTGGTTTCTCCTGTGATCCCACTTCAACCTTCTCTTCATAGCTCATTTCTAAAAGCTGCTGCTTTTGTGATGCCCTTAGGTGGTGAAGCAGTAAAACGTACTGTTAGGTCTGCTCCCAGATATATCTATATCCCCTAGGTAGCTCAGGGAAGTATTATTGGTCACACATGTGTAGCATTCCTCGGGACCTACACTTCACAGTTAGGATGGGAAGAACTAAGAATGGTGCAGCATAGGGTCTCAGGAAGCAGTAAGCCTCTGTGAGTGAGGACCCAGTAATGATTAAACACCTGTAGGTGCGCCCTAGAAACTGTGAATACTTAGCCTCTGTTTCACTGTGGATGATGATGTTGAATAAGGGAGCAGAAGCAGAGTGGTGTATGAGTGAAAATGACCGCAGTCGAAGTTAGGACTTCTTGCTTTCGCTGAGGACCTGGATCATCGCCATCTCAGAATGCTTGAAAAACGTGCTGATATGTGAAATCACAGGTCTAGTCATAACTCTTAGTAATAAATCTGTCAAGTCAGGGAGGTGTTCTGGGTGACTGGAGATTAACAAGCATAATACCTGTACTAATGGAGAGTGAGAGAGAGAGTGTGTGTAGGAGGAGGGGGGGGACGTGCTCCAGGGAGCTACAGACCCATTAGTCTGACTTGAAAAAAGTGCAGAGCTTTATAGCAGGTTTTGAATCATGAGCAAGAAAATATTACGATGGTAAATAGGAAAAGTGGGATAAACTGCAGTGTAAGTTTATAAAACTGGTTTACCATAGTCTAAGCTGCTATTTTTTTTTTTCCTTAGTAAGATAACTGATTTCATATTAAAGGGAACGTAACTGATATCTCTCTGAACTTCAGTCAACCATGAGACATGGTGGCAAATAGCAAATTCTTAGCTAAGGTGGAAGAAAGAAAAGGATTAGTAAAAGAATTTGAGGCATAGAGAACGTATCATTTAGCATGGTCTCCTTTCTCTCCCATGCGCTAGTAATGGGCACATGAGGGAAGAATAGAATATACATAGAGTAATAAATACCCTTTAATTCTGGACAAGAAGACCAAGAATCTCTCTTTCAGTCCTTTGTTCCTGTGAACAGTTCCCTGCTTCCCCGACGGTGCTCTGGACACAGGGATGACTGTTCAGAACAGGATGAAACTTTTACAGCCCTTCTCATAATTCATCCCACTATCAGTTGCTAGTGAAGAGCTCTTACTGCTCATCATAGTCTGGTGACTTGCAGTTATTTGAGATGAATTAAAATTCAGTTATAGCCTCTTCTTGTTCAAAAAGTAGCAAGAAAACAGTTTCAATCCATCTGGACTAAGCCACCCACTAAGATTTACATCAGAAAGTCCACTATTTAATTTCCAAATGAAAAGTTGAACCTTTTCTCTCCACATCAGTAAATCTAAGTCAGTTTGCAAGCTGAGAGTATAAGAGGGCAGCTAAGCACCTGTGCTGTTTGTGGGATGGATAAAGGAGAAAAAAGTCAACTGTAAAGGTTAAATGAAGCCAGGTGCTTGGATGTGGGACTGAGGAGGTGAGAGCAGACTACTTCTTAAATGTATCCAACTGCTTCCTTTACTCCTGGGGAAGTCCCTTGTGTATAGCATCCTTTTTCATGGATTGCAAAACTCCTTTGAAGGATCAGATTTGGGACCTGGGAGGTGAATTTTAAGGGAAAAAAATGTGGTAGATTTGTGAACAAAGGAGTGATCCAGAAGTATGTGGAGTTTTTTGTGCATTGTGTGTTACCATGTGAGGATCACTAATTGCAGCAAGAAATTTTGATCTTGTGGTGAAGAGAGTTAGATCAGCTTTGACAGTTCTAAAACAGCTTGGAGTGAGTTAGTTACTGGTTTTTTTTTTTAACTGGATATTATCAGATTTCAGTGCAGACGTTATTCCCGGCTGTCACTCTGTTTACCTGGCAGCAGCTTCTTGCAGCAGTCAGTTGTCAGTGCTCTGAAATGCCTCCTTAGAATAGATTGCAGACAGGGGAAAAACAAGTATGTGTCAGAAATTCCTGGTTAGAATGAGATAGGGATTCACCTGATGATGATACTTTAGTGATATTTGGGAGGGTCTTCATGGTACCTAGGTTAGGAGTTAGTGTCTCTAAGCTCCCTGTGTCATCAGTGGATACAGAGACAGAAAAACACTCTGAAACTTCTTCTGGAGAAAACTGCCTTTCCATGGGCAGTACAAGGAGGCCTGGCATCCTAACTGAGGTTTTCTAAGATTTAGCTGTGTTTATAATCACCAGCGTGTCCTGCCTGAGAAAGGGTTCAAACTGTGTAGCATGCGCCTTCGTGAACACAGGTTGTGGCTGCCAGAACTTTTCCTGCTCGATTGCCTGCGCTGCCCCTGGGGCACTGACCGTGGGGCTGACAGTGCTGGCTCGTTAGCAGGACTCCATCACTATGACTCCGTCAGCAACTCACATTCTGGCCCTTTGCTGGAGACCTGAGTTCATTTTACTCGGGAAAATGGTTTGTTTTGTTTCCTGTCTAGATGCAAAGTAGGGGTCCCAAGTTTTGGGAGCTTTAACAAGGTAAGCAGCCAAACAGCAAACCCAGCAGCTGGGGGTGGGGAAAACCCTGCCAAAGAGCTACACATTGACATTTGAAACAACTGCAGATGCTGACCTTCCCCTCAACTTCAAGAAGACAGATGAAAATGTGTATAACTAGCTTTCTTTACACAGTACTTCGTTGTATTTATCTCTGTTACCTTTAGGGCCACGTGCTTTTGCGTTATGTAGGCTCATCTACCCCAAAGAGGCGCAATGCCTTGAAGTTTAAATAACATCCATAGCAAAAGTGAGTGATGTGTGAACACAACAGAGGAAACAGTTCCGTCAGCAACAGAGGAAAAAGCAAGGGATCAGGCTGGCTGGGAGCACTGTTTTTGCAGGCAGACAGGTCTAGATACTGCAAAGTCAGGGTACAAAGCGAGGCTTTATAAACCACAAAAAAAAAAGGCTTCATCTCCTCTATAAATTGTGGTGGTGCTGATTCTTAAGTTGTTGTCCCTTTAATATTTTATTCCTAATGATAAAGTGTTTTTACTAAAAATACATAGGAATTTATTCTCCTTAATTCTGAATAGAATTTCAGATTGTATACAGGCATTTTCTTCTACTAAAAGGTCTCCCACCTAAAATGCTTATCCGGGCTGAAAAAGACAAGTCCAGATCCTCATTAACATTCCTACACAGCGAAATTTGCGGTCCATAAGCAGTTTCCAGTATACTGAACTACCCCAAGTGAAGAAGGCTGCAATAATTCAAGCAGGCAATGCTGTTCCATCAGGGCTGCTGTTTGATGTCAGCAAGATTTGTATTCCAAGTTACTTGACATTTCTTCAGCTTTGGGTTTCTAGTTTTGAATAGAAGTTCTCGATAACTTCGGTGTCATGAAAGTTATCATTGCTGTTGACGCCAGAGCAGTTTGTTTTTTGAAGGGTAAAAACTTTGTCCCTGAGGGATGTTTTAACAAAAGCACAGCTAAACACATAGCATCCCCTTAGAAATCAGTGTGCCCAAGAGCAAAGCTGCGTGTCTGCTTGGGTATTTTCAGAGCAGGGTGCACTTCCACAGCAGAAACTCCTCCGAGTCAGTGAAACTGCAGTGCTGCTGAGCCTTACCCCAGCTGCGCAGCCCAGCCTCTTCCTTTGCGTTGGCATTGCAGGGCAGGTCGCCTTCTGGATGGGCCAGTTTGGAGAATTAAACCAGGTGGAGATTGTTCCTTTGTTTTGGTTTTTTTTTTTTAAATTATTAACTGGCTTAGTTCCCTAAACAATCTCACTGCAAGTAAGATGAGCAGTGTAAGGTCTGGACTGGAGTTGGAGCATGAGACCAGTTTCGCTTAAACTACCATGAAGCTGCATCCTCTGTTTCAGCACAGTCTTGCAGAATCCAAGTAAGAGATCCCAGGAGCGATGGGATGTTAAAATATTAATGCTTAGTTTGTAACTTTAAATTTGCAAGGACAATATTTTTCAGTTTCCTTTTCCAAAGCTTCCAACCCAATTTAAATCACAAGAGTGGATGTGCAGAAGTGGTTTGCATTATATTCAATTAAATAATTTAAATAGCTTCTAATTAAACTGTTGTCATTTGGTATAATGTTTGTGATGAAGAACTGTAAGAGTTAACATTTGCTGCTGTAACAGCTGCATACAGGGAGCTCTTGCCCAGCAGTGATTGCTGTATCATCAACATGCATGAGCGAAAGTGGGAATTCATGACAGTGTCTTCTCTGGTTGCCCTGCAGGCTGAACTCGGCTCCAGTGAAGGGCTTTGAAAAAGATGTGGGTGGCAAGACAACTCTCCGGATCACATATCCTGAAGGTGCAATCCAGAAAATGGAGCAGTATGAGAAGGATTCCCTGTTTGTTCTGGCAGGATTCAAATGGCAGGATTTCAAGTGGCTGAAATACATTGTTTACAAGGAGAAAGTGGTAAGAACGCTGTCAGCTTGCATTGCCAAGGTCACCTAATTAGAAGCAGTGGGCAGACATGATATCACAGTCATATTTGACACATTTTGGTCTGAAGAGAGTTCCTCTGTGTGTCCTGCTGCACTTAAGTGAAGGCTTTTTTACTTCCATGGACTTCAGCTTTAATTAAATATGCTTTACAAAGACCTCTCTCTGTAACGTGACCTTGCATCACAGATGAGGCTTTCTATTCAAGATTATGTTAGTGTGCTATAACAATGAATTTAATTTTTATTTATTTTAAAGAGTATAAAAAAGGACCAACTTTTCCATGGATTTTATGGACTCTTAGGGTTTAAGAGCAGAGGAAGGAAAAGCGTAATGGCAAGGGGAGGAAATGGGAGTTTGGGGATAAGGATGTGATGGCACAGGAGGGGAGGAGGACACAGCAGCAGCATAACTTCTTGAAAAGGCTACAATCCACAGACTTAATATGACCTCTTGAATAGCACAAGCCATTATATTTTGCTCTGTTATTGCTGTACTGAGATTCATGATTTGTGTTTGGCTAAAGTATCATCTGGAAGAACAGTATCAAGTCTAATTTAAAACCATTGAAATGGTGGATCCACTGCTTTCCCCATGTAAATATTTTATCCCAGTCAGTTGCATTAGTGCCCTTCTGAAGTACCATCGACCTGTTACTAGTCAGGGTTGTTCTCTGTAATTCACCCATCCTAAATGGAATCAGGTTGTGATCACTGACTTCTCATTCAGTGGATGGCTCATCTTTATCTGTTGTCATGAAGTCCGGAATAAATGGCCTCTATTTGTTTTACAAATCTTGTATCTCTGTTTTCAAATGTTCTTTAATGATTTTTCAACAAATAACCAGACAAATGGATTAATGTTCAGAGGATGGGATGTTATATCATGTGTTTGGACATGAAGAGAGGAGGTTGGCAGCTCACCATATACAGAATGAAACAGTCTGGGAATATAATTGTATACAGTTGTTACATAGATGGCCTTAAGGGCTCATACCTTGCTCTTGTCTCACACTGGCACCAACTTGCAATTATTTTCCTGGTACCAGACGGATTAAGTTACCTGTCAGCCTTTGGGCAAGCACAAGGGGGCTTTCGTAACATGAATAATTGAGTCAAAAGTAGTTTTCTTTGGTTTATGTCATGCTCTTGTTCTTCATTCTGGGCCAGGGAAAACCCTGGCAGTGTCAGCGCCCTGCAACGTGAATGCAGTTTTAGGGACTTCTAGTGTTTAGCTTGACGTTCAAAGGATGGATTGGTTTACTTCAAAACAAATTGAGTTTCCACCTGATGCTTGCAGTGATGTGGTCATCACTAGATTCTAATGTGGTATCCCTGATCTTGGAAAGATGCAGCGAACAGTTTGTTAAAACTTGCTAGAAGACTGGGGAGAGCGATTGCAGTAATCTTAAGTGAGTGCTTCAGTGCCCGGTTTGGCAGAAAGCAGAACGACCGTGAGCTTCTTGCGTTGCATGTTACTTCAGTGCTCTTGTAGTTGGCTCCTTATCCTTCATTTCTTTGGAATAAACATTCCGGTTTTTTCAGTTCTTGTAGGTGATGTTTTCCAGATCTCTTAATTCCTGTTACTCTTTTGAATGCCCGCAGTTGATTCATCTTTTTATTAAAGAGCAGTGCCCAAAAATGTACAGAGTACAGCAAATAGAGAGGAGCACACAGCTATTTCACTAGCCTCACGGTTCTCATTCGTTATACATCCGCTGTTTTGACTGCATTTTCCACAATGGCATGGGACTGAAGGTGAGTGTCCAGTTCCTTGAGACACCAGGTTTCAGGAAGAACTGAAGAGCTGCTACCTCCCCAGCTCTGCACCCTGTGCTTGTGCCATTGGCTCTTCCTGCCAAAGAGCAGCACCGTGCACTTGTCCCTACCAATTCTTTCTTCCAGAACACTTCTCCAATTTGCCAAGTTCCTTTGACAGCACTTTCCAGCATGTCTACCATTCTTTCCAGGTTCATGTCCTCTGCAATTTAATAAACATACTTTTTACTCCATCATCCAGGTTGACAATGAAAACACACTAAACAAAGTTGGTTCCTAGGCACACCCCAAAGTAATAACATCCTTCCATTTCTACAGTGAGCCCACTGAGAACTCCTGGATAGTTTTTTGGCCACTTCTGAACTTGTATCACAGTAGTATCATTAATAACATTTTCGGCTTGTTTGTGAAAGTGGTATGTCAGAAGCCCTACTGAATTCCAGTTCATGTCTTGCTTTTCCCCTATGATACTTTTTTCCCTGTATAAAGAAATACTATTTTTTTTCAATAATGATTTGTTCTTGACAAATCCACCTGCATTGCTACTCAGTCTTTGTTATTTTTTTCAGGTGCTTACAAATAGTTAATCTTGCTATTCTGAGAATCGGAATCATAAATCAACTCTCTTCCCTTTTTTTGCCTTCTTAAGGCTAGGCACTACTTTTGTCCGTTTTTCAATCCTTTGACACCCTACCTGTCCTACGCAAATTCCCAAGGGAATTATTGCTGGGTTTTGAGGCTGCTGAGCCAGTTCATTGAATACTTTAGGATGCAGTCCAGGTGACTGAAGACATCTGTCTTGTCCTCTCTAGTCTGATCTATTTGAGATCTTGCTGTCACTGGCTTTAGCTGCAAGCAGGTGGCTAGCACAGCTGTTTTTTCTAGTGGAAACATGGGAATAAGACATTTTCTAGTGGAAGCATGGGAATAAGACATAGGCGTCTCTTCTGGTAGTGAGTGTTAGTATTTTTATCAGTGTGTGGTAAAATCAAAATGACAACTGCTTGCCCAGTGCCCTCTGTGGAGAGTTTCTGTTCCTCTCTCAGCTGATTTTCCAGAGAAAAAGGAGTTTCTTCCTTTCCTGGATTCATCTAGAGGCACCTGCTTGACCTAGGAGCTCTGCATGCCACTGTTGCTTATTCCTTATCTGACATTAGGCCTGTCCCTCTGCAAGACTTCATCCCTACTGCAAACCAGTGGTTACAGTCAGGAGTCTGACCTCAGGACAGAGATAAGGGAAATGGAAGCATCCTGCTAAGTAACATGACTGCTGTGGAAGTGGACACATTCCTCAAAAAAATAGGCCGAACTCTGCTCTCTGGTGTTTCCTTTGCCCCTCAATGTTGATGGCAACTGCATATGTCCATGGTACAATCACAGGTGGGGTATGAGACTTTCTGAATTCCTTCAGACACCAGACCTGGAGCTGCTTGGACTTGCTTGACACCAGGGATTCTGAGCCAGGTGCTAGGATCCTTGCTTAGTCCTCTCTCAAGTAAGTGAAATCAAAGGGAGTTTATCTGAGAAAGAGTAAATGAAAGGCAAATGGCTATTTATTGCTGGGGTCAGTGGTCAGATAAGCTTATTCTCCCTGCAGCTGAGAGGGATTTGCTCTGTGTTATGTTAGTCTTTTGGCAGCACTTGCATACTGAGGAAGGGATAAGTGCTTTGTAGAGAGGGGGATTTTCAGGAGATGTTATAAGGAAAAAGAGTCAGTGTGATGCAGAAGCAGCAGCAGAACAGTGAGGCAGAGGATTTGATGTGTTACATACAGTCTGGTGCAAAAGCCTTCCGGAGATCTGCGTGATGCCTCGGTGCCCTGGGAGGCACTATATCCAGAAAGAGGAGCAGTGGAATATGGACCAAAGAAAAAGTAAAAGCTCAGCTGCTTTTTATTTCGCACTAAACCAGAAATATCTGGAAGGAAATAAAAACTTGAGAGAAAAGATTAATCTAGAAAAAGGACAAGTTTGGCTAAATATTCAACAGCAGCAGCAAAACAAAGGTAGTGTCCGTTATAGAGTTCTGGGTGAGCTGGCACTCAAAATTGCAAGTCTTGTCAGCAAGTTAGGGCCGTACTGTATGACTGGAGAGTATAGACCTGTCTTCAAGAAGAGGAAAGGTGGGTGAATCTGAGCGACTAAAACCCTGGTAATCTGATTTCAGTAATTTGACAAGCTTTAGAATAAACTGAAGGGGAAAATAATTGCACTTGTTGCAAGTAAATGTGGGAAAAGGAGTGTAGGATGGAGAAAGGTGCCACGGTTAGCAGAGGGGAGTATTGCACCATGCAGACCTAATATGTCAAAGTACAAGTGGAAAGTAAGTGGGTTGGAGTCCCACAGCCTGCAATCGCATGAACCCATGATTACTGCAGAAGAGTCACAGATGTGAGTTGTTCGTGCATCTGTGGTGACTGGTCTGGCAGTGCGGACTTGCAGTCATTGCTGCAAGAGCCTGCTGACACTTCCAGGCACCCCTTCTCTGATGAAGCAGCTGCTGCTATTTTACTGAGTTACTCATGGACAGTCAGAACAGTTACATTCTCTCCTGGACTGTTCTTTTTGCCAAGAAACATTACCCATATGTATGGTGACCCACCCTGCCTGCTTCCCACTATTGTACCGTCCTGCATCACCCCGGGTCTCTCCGTGACAGAAGCTCTTCCTGAATACCTGAAGTATCAGAGGAATTATAGGGGGAGGGAGGTTTGGCCATATACTGCTCTTCTCTGTTAAAATAATGGTCAAAAGCTGAAGGTTCCTCTATTGTGTGGAGAGTAGATGCTTCCTGAAACAAACAGAGGAATTTACAAGGGCCAGTTATGCAAACCAGCCATCACAGCCTGGCGCTGGGGCTGATTCCAGGGTGGTTTTTTGCCCGTCATTAGTGAATCAGAAGGAGCTCTCTTGCTTGCTAGGGCTCACTTCCCTGAACATCTGGCACATGGTGGTAAAGCAGCCAAGTGAGGGCAAAGGTTTCACTAGAAATTGGCAGCTCGCAAGCTTCCTTCTCATGTAGTAATAAGCCTGCGGACGGGTCCAGCCAGGAATCTCTGCAGCCTTTGCCAGGAGGAGTCACTTGTGCAGTAAGTGCCTGCGGCACCTTGAAGCTCTCTTTGATAGTGAAAGTTATAGGAGCGAGTGAGCACCTGCCTGCGAGCGAGGCCAAGTTCGGTTGTCTGTCCCTTGCAGG